CGGGGGGTGGCCGGTTTCCCTGTATCTGACGTTACACAAGCCAACCCTTTCACCAGCAGCATAGACTAGAGTAAGTGTTAAAGTCAGGGCAAGTCTATTGAATTCTACATCCAAAATGCAAGGGTATCAATAATCTCTAGCGTCCAGCGCTTAGAGAATTCAAAATCGGCGCAACTTCGTCACTCATCTCCCATCTCCGTCTCCCCAAAGGCAAAAGCGCATTAAACCTCGCCATCCAGCCCTCCGAAACACATCTACAAAGAGGAATGTTATTCATCCCCGCAGTGCCCTCTGCCTGAATCCACGTCTCCAATCTTGCTGTATTCTGTAAATCCAGTGGATCATCACCAATGTTTATATGGTTCATCGTCGGAACGCAGGAACATGCTGCCTCGGAGAACATGAGCCATGCCCATACTACCAATGCGCTCATTGAGATGGCGAGATAGGATGTGGGGTCGATGGATTGTGTTTGGGGCTCGTTTGCTTGGAGATCTGATTCGCATTGACGAAGAACCGCCAGGGCGTGGAGCAAAGCTCTTCGACTCTCAGGCGATTTAGCCCATATGTTTAGCTGGGTGTGAAGCTTTTGTAATCTCGGACGAACGCCAGCTTCGTGGTCCGGTGATACAACTGAGGCCATGGCTACTGAGTTGATCATCCGAGGATCAGCATAAAGCTCAAGGCCTTGTAGATGATAGGTCATCAAGCACTCTGAAATCAAGCATTTGATATTCGACATTGCCAAAGCTTTGGCTCTCACCGGATCTTCATCATAATCCCCTATATAGGCATTGAAAGGAAACTCGCCAACTTCAGCAGCATGAAAACACTGATGTTTCAATCTCTCAATATCAGCTTTCCACGCCTCAAGCTGCCACGCAAGAGACGAAGTACAATTCTGCGTTGATCGGCCCGCTTCTGTACTCCGACGAACGATTTGAGTCTGATTCCAAATTGCAGGTAGCAAGCCACAAAGAGCGAGATGAATATCTTCAAAGAGGAGGAGAGGTTTTGCCGGGGTGTTGGGGTTGGCGATGACTTCTGAGAGTTTGAAATTTGAGCGATCTGTTGGTTCGAGGGTGATGCGTTTGAAAAAGATGTTGAGGCCGTAGGAGTTCCAGAGGGAGTAAGTTGCTGGCATTGTGAGATCGATTTCTTCTCGGAAAAGGGTTGGGGCTTGAAAGCGAGCTATTGAGAGGTACGTGTCGATTTTGAAGAGAGAAACGATGAGTCTATATATATCAGTATCGCATCAATGTGGGAGGAGACAAGAAATTTACCGCTTCCATCGATCTCGGATAGTCATGAGCCATGGGACAAAGGTTCCCGGGTAGTGAAGGCGTTGTTGCTCGGCTGCGTTGTCGCTGTTGAAGAACTCTGCTTCTCTAAGAGCCACGACGAACGTGCCTCGTAGTAGAGATGCTTTTGAGACTAATCTCTCATTCTATATTGAGGTCAATATGTATGCAGCGACTGTATAAAGGCTACTTACACCGTGGTAAAAAGCAAAGATAATGTTCATGAGGATGGCTTGATATGTTTCGAAAGGCCAGGGTCCATCATATTCATGCCGAGATCTGGGGTTCGCCTAAAATCCTTGTTAATCTAGGAACATCTGTCAAGCTAAATGACTTACGATCCAATCAGAGAACGCACTCATCAACGACTCGTGCAGTTGTAAGACTACATCCTCAAACTCATCCGGACTTCTCAGCCAACAGCTGATCATGGCTATTGATACAGATACTAGTAGAGAAGTATCCATAGTGACATAAGAAGGTCCATGGAGAATAGGCCATGTATCGTGAAACCTCCCAAAGTACTCTTTTGAATTTCCTTCGATCCAGTTTTTGTCAAGTGCAGGTACCGGTGTATCCTCACCAATCGGAATCTCTCCAGATCGGACATGATTAGCGATTCGTTTAAAACCCGCTTTGATCTCGTCATTTGGTGAGATTTGCGGTGTTCCTGGTGTGAGATTCTGTATCAGGGCCGGCGAAGTAAAACCATTGGCCACCGCTCTAGGATCTGTGGCATCCTCGCTTGGACTCTTACTCCCGCTGCTACTCTTGGACGCGTGTTTATAAGTGCAGTTAATTCCCCTCTTGACGCAGAGAGTGCACTTTGTGCCACCGTCACACTTTGTCTTGTTTGCATGGCATGCATCGCAAGCTCTTCCTCTTCTTGGATCAGGAGCTGGAGGCATATCATGCCGTGTCAGGTGGCGGCGCAACAAGTCACTAGAAAAGCAAATTAACACTGTAGCTGGGAGAATACGAGACATGTACTAACTTGCGTGTGAAGGATCGTTGACAAATCGGGCAAACGAAATTGCGCTCTCCATGGGTCGCTTGATGGCGTCTCAGATGTTCCTTTCTGATAAAGCTCTTCCCACAGTGGCATGTATGTCGACTGGGTGTTGGTTCAGCACTGTCAGCGGAGGATCTGATACATCATTTCACTACTGTTAGTCATGGTGCATTACATACAATACAACAGAGTCAAACATCCACTCGGTGATCCCACCTGTGGCTGGCCGTTACATACCTTCTATCACGATCACTGTGGGATATCTCCATGGTGGTGGATTATGATTGCCTTTGATTTGATATGAGGGTATCGAACCGAGTGGGATCGGATTGTACATAAGCCAAAAACTCGGTGTATTATTTATCGAATAGTTTGACTGGAAAAAAAACCGAAGCCGACGCACTGTTACGTATGCCTTGCATTGGGGGCCATCCCTTGAAGGTCGACTTGGTAATCGCGAGTGGGATTGCCGAAGGTTGAAGTGGGATATCTCAGCTCGGCCTCCGCGGATGGGATAGAAAATTGGGGTTGACCAGTCAGAGCCTCAAATGCACAATTAAGGTTTTAATGGGACCCGCGGATAGATCCTCTATCCCACTCGGTTCATCTCATCCCACTCAAGTCTATCCCACCTCCAATATCCCATCCAGCTACAAAGCCACGATCAGAGTACCTTACGGAGTACAGACAGCACAGCCATCTGTGGCGGTCGAGAATACAGAACAAGTGCTCTGTAAGTTGGGGGCCAAGATTAAAGTAGAGTGCCGGACACATATGACATATTCCGGGGCAATCAAGCTATTGCTCATGTAATGAAGTGGGATGCATCATGCACCCATTCTTGGCTTGACAGGCGGCAGCCTTATGATCGCCAATCTTCCGAACCTTCTATCTTAACTAAGCGGAGCTTCGATGGTGTCTGCAGCACCACTAATGGTATGATTAAGCTTTGTAACTGTGTAAATGACGCCAAACATGTCGATAATTGTTGATTCCAGCAACATATAGATAGAGCCATTTCTCTTCAATTACCATCCATTCCATCCATCAATCAAACAACCATCACTTCGATTAATCACATATAACACTTATAAAAATGTCTGCCTACAAAAACATCGCTGTCGCTGGTGCCGCAGGTGATCTCGGCTCCGCAGTCTTCAAGGCCCTCATCGACTCCAACAAATTTAACCTCACAGTCCTAACCCGCGCCGGCTCAACCTCCAAATTCCCCGCCGACATCAAAGTCATCCAAGTCGACTACGAGTCCCTCGACTCTCTCACATCCGCCCTCCAAGGCCAAGATGCCGTCGTCTCAACCCTCGCCAGTCTCGCCATCCCCAGCCAATCACTCCTTATCGACGCCGCAGTAGCCGCTGGTGTCAAGCGCTTCCTCCCTTCTGAGTTTGGCTCCAACCTTGCCATCCCCAGCGTTCGCAAGCTTCCTGTCTTCAAGACAAAGGTTGATATCGAGGATAAGCTTACTGCTCTTGCGAATGAGGGCAAGATTAGCTATACTTTTGTTTATAACTCTGGTTTCCTCGACTGGGGCCTGAGCCACGGCTTGTACCTTGATTTTAAGAAGGCAGAGATCACACTCTGGGATGGCGGCAACACTGAGTTCAGCACAACCACTCTCGCCAGCGTGGGCCAAGCTGTCGTCGGTGTTCTGACACATCCTGCCGAGACAAAAGATCGCGTTGTTTATATCCAGGATACCGTCGTCTCTCAGAAGAAGCTCCTCGACATTGCCAAGGAGCTCAACCCCAGCAAGCAGTGGACGGTCAAGGAGGCCAAGATAGACGATGCTACTGCTGCTTCTGATGCAAACGTCGCAAAGGGTATCTTTGACTGGCCTACCCTTGCTGCTTACCTTTACAGGGCTATCTTTGACCCCACTAGTGTTCCCAAGTTCCCCAAGCTTGATAATGAGCTACTTGGTGTCAAGGGTGTCACCGATGAGCAACTCAAGGAACTTATCAAGTCTTTTGTTCAGTAGAGACATACAAAATATTCATAGATAGTCACAATATCAACTATTTAATATTCATCTCCTTGTTCGACTCTCATAAACACATTTCTGTAGTACCAAACTGATACTTGCGAGTTGGGTTTAGAATAATCTCTATCTACCTCATACATTCAGTCGTTAAAAGGGTTATATCAACAATTGAAGTTATGTATCGAAGCTTTAAGGGTTTTTAATCTCCAGGACATCATCTTGGGCAGTATATGATACAATGGGGTGTAAGAATTTATCTCGGTCTTATTGAGTGGATAGGATCTTATCACTATGTGAGTATGGGAGTATCCTAGCAGATGGCGTTCTAGAGAAATTAACCGCCCCTATATTCTAACAATTATCGGATATTCTGGTCAAAAAATCTTTTATACAATAATTTGAATGTTTTCCATTCCATCCTCCAATGCCGCAATAGTATCCTCGAATAGGTGCGTGTTGGGAGTAGGTGATTATTCTTCTGGATTACGCAGGTAGATACCCAAATATTGTCAGGACTTTCGATTCTCATGAAACTTAATTCTATTTTCTCAAAATATATCTTTTCCTCACTTGGTGTTTTCTAGCCTTTATATCTGCTTGGCCATATGAATTTCATATCAACTCTGATCAAGATTCTAGACTGGAGTTCCTGCTGTGTAGGCAGTCTGAGCTATCTTCAAATGCCCTCTCAGAAGATTTCAACTTGCCATTGTTCCTTTATATATCGCCCATCTCTCTTGGCAATATTCAGTTAATTGCAGATGTCTTATCCCAAATCAGTACTCCAGCCGCCGCGACCGTGACGTATTACGACGACTTCCTCAGCCTCTCCAAAGTCGAAATCCAATCGCAACGAATAATATAGCTAGATAATAATTCAAACGTCAATTATATTTCTATCTGATCTTTAGTATTCATTTCTCTTATCTACCGCTATAGCGGGGTATCCAAATCAGAAGTTGCGAGATAGGCGAATCTTGGATTGCGTGATTCTGATATGGGTTGCACCATCGACAAGCCGGTTACCTGGAACCTTTTTATAACCGAGCGTAACCCACGAGGCGATCTGTATGGATATTCCCCGCAGACCTTGAGTGCTAAACACGGATTCTGGCCGGTATCTCGGCAATGTTGAGTTTCGGTCGGATGCGTGGTTTGGTGATCTCTAGAAGACAGTGCCTGAACACCAGGAAAGGAACAAATGGCCACCACTATGAGAGTCCTAACCGCTACACTACGATTAATCAAAATAAATAATATGTATTGTAACCTTCTGATTAAATTGTCTAGAACTTGGCCATCTTGCATCGTCTCCCGTCTGTCTTACACGGAATCGGGATACACCCGATCAATCCAAGAACAATCCAATCAATAATCCTTCAATACCTCCAATCATCATCTCCAATCCTCTTAATCATCAAATCTCTCATATCATTCACTGTCGTGCTAATTCCGCACGTAGCATCCCTGGAGTTGAGTGATTGATAGTCCAAATAACACCATCGCCCCGTGTGGGGATCTCACCCCGACACCGGTCTCTCCCACGATGTATCTTTGAGAAAAAGCTCGTCACGTCATTGGAAGAATTGCGGGCATGGGATAACATATCCAAACGTGATTCGACAAGTCCTGCATGACGCCATGCGCTATGCTCTTCGGGAGTCTGTTAGGTTACTTGCATCCGTTGAAAAGGATCGGATTGCCTGTTTTGTCGAATGGACGGTAGATTATTGAAAAGGCTCGCTACCCCTCGTAAAGTTTGGATTCATAATTCTTTTCGTCAAGAGAAGTGCTGCTATTTGAGGAAGGGCGTATTGTGCTTATTGACTTGGGCCGCCTAATCAGTCTGATCTTGCATGCAGATATACGGATAGATATCAACACCATGAGCGCATACCTTTCCCTTTCGGCCGAACCGGCTTTCGGAGCACGGATACCACTCTCATTCGTTACGGACTCATCGCAAGAACATCCCGTGTCTCAGACGGCATCAGACTCTCAGCCTCGATATACACCACCTACCGATTTGACGAAACAAAACCAAGCAAGCGACTCTGAAACTCAGCACTCTATACCATCTTCTCAGACAGTCTTGTTATTACATGGCTTACGGCAACCATACCAAATCACCGACGGCCACCCCATCCCCAGTACGAAGCATGATCATGAGCTACTAGTTCGCACTGATACTATTGGACTGAATCCCATCGACTGGAAGTCTCCGTACGTAGATCCACGTCTATGATATAATTATAGCGACTGACAAAGTTCATAGTGACTACGGCTTTGCCATCCCAGAGTTACCATACATCTCCGGTCGTGAAGCATCAGGCACCGTCGTCCTCGCCCCCCAAACCCCCTCAAGAATCAAATCGGGCGACAAAGTAATCGTCATATCAACCGACTACCGCGATCTCCGCAAAGCAACATACCAACAATATGTAGTCGCCTCAGACTTTAACGTCGTGAGAATTCCAAAGGAAATCACAATCAAGCAAGGCGCTACACTCGGAGTTGCATACGTAGCTGCTGCCCTATCGCTAGGAATATGTCTCGGCATTGATTTTACATCTGTTCAGGATGGTCCTAATATTCTTCACCTTGTGAGAGAGGTACCTGAAGAAGCACTCCCGGAAGATATTAGAGGAGAGTGCTTGAATAGTATCTTGCCGAATGAGGGTGCTAAGGCTGGGGATTGGATCGCCATTTGGGGCGGGTCTTCCACGTCAGCTGTTCTGGCTGTTCAGCTAGCTCGTCTTGTTGGGCTGAAGGTCGCCTTGGTTGTCGATAACGCAAAGCATGGAGTTCGAATTTCCGAGAATCCCGTTCTTCGACCGGATCTGCTGGTTGATAGCCATGATCCCGAACGAGCTGTTGCTGTTCTCCGCGCCAATACTAAAGGCAAACTTCGTTTCGGTATCGACACAAGGGGCAAAGACACAGCTGAAGTTTTACTCCGCGCTCTTGTCCCTGAAGAACTTCATCGAAGCGCAGCGAATGTCACTTCACCACCCAGCACTCCGCCCGCTGAGCCTATAGTTCCCGCCCATCTGGTCGGTATGAGTGGACTCCCCAAAACGGGTCAGTCAGTGGGTGTCATCTTCCATACTATCCCTTTCAAGCTGTATCACGAGGTACCTGAGGTTGGAGAAGTGCTATCAAGATGGCTGGAGAGGTTATTGTCAAGCCGTGCGCTTGTGCCACCCAGAATCATCGATGTTGAGGATGGTCTGCATAACGTGAACAGAGGGCTGGATAGGATGAGGAAGGGGGAGATCAGTGGGGGAAAGCTGGTGGTTGATTTGAACACAAGCCAATAGGGAGATTTCAAAGGTAGACCAAAATTTAAGAACAGAAGAGGTATCAACATTTATTGTTTACAGCCAAGACTGTCATTGCTTGCCTGGAACTTGGCGTAATGCTGACTCTGCTATTGGCTGCGTATTCCGTATAAGACTTGGGCTGCTCCACGGCAGTACATGGATTTGGCTCCCAACTATCAAAAGGGTACAGCTAGACACCCATGTACGGGCACTCAAGTGATTAGTCCAGAATCTTCTCTTCAGCGCCTTTTCGGATTTCTCTTTATCTTCTAATATTCCTTTTTTTTACTCTTTGCCCAAGGACAAGCTGAATCCATCTCCTTCATCTCTCACAGTCCCAATGTCGTCAAACAAATCATCACACGCTCTTCGAACAGAAGTTTCCAAACTATCCAGACTATCCAATATTCAAGGTGGTCTGCCACCTCTTATGAGAGGCCTACCAGTCCTAGCGATCATGGCCGGGGAGGCTATCGCAAAGACAACCAATACCGCAAACATGGTTGAAGAGCGAATGCTTGGAGCGGACGAAGTATTCATACTGCAAAGTCCACAAGAATCAACAAAAAGTACGGTTATGAATGATATTGGTCGGCCAGGCGTAAACTTGATGTGCCAAATATGCGGGCAGAAGGTGGGCAAGATCCAGAAGGAAGCAAGATTTGATATTTCACGAGTTCATAACTCTTTGAAAGGATATCATCAAATATCTAGGAATGGAGACTCTAAGAGTGATGTATGAGAGAGATATGGAAGCCATCTGTGATTAAATATTCAGCTACTCTATTGTACAAAATCTAGTTAATCTACTCTATCACTCCAATCCTAACTCAATCTCGTCTCCTTTTCAACGAAGACCCTGAATCTTTGAGCAGACTCCTATTCTACCAATTTCCATAACGCTTGCTCAAAGTGCTTATACATAGTATAATGAGTCTCATCCTCAAACTCATGCAATTCACATCCCCGTATCCGCTCCGCCATATACCGAATCATCTGAATAGGTGCATTCGCATCCTTCTTCCCATGCCACATCTGAATGTTATCATACTGAACCTTCTCAAGCTCGAACCCCCAATCCTTTGACGTGAGGAGATTCATCTCGTGCACGGCAGCGTCAGCCCCCTGGCGAAATGGCTCGTCGAGAACCATGTCCACCAACTCTTCTAAGCTCATCGACTTTGGCTGTGGCTCCCCGCTCTCAGCTTCTTCTTTCTTACGTTGATCTTCGAGCCATTTGTTGAGTCTTCTGGACACGGGGCCGGATAGGACAACCCTTCTGATAGATAGGTACAGCATGTACAACGCCCCCCGAAGAGTTGATGGAGAGAACTGCGCCCAGACTTTGAAGACGCGCCGGTAATATTCAACGTGCTTCGTACCAGCCGCCCAATGCGGTGCTGTTGCAAAGAGTCCAACGCTTGTAACTGCACGCTTTGGCAACGCGTAAGCACAGGCTAGAGCAAAAGGACCGCCGCCTGAGAGACCGAAAACAGAAAACTGGGAAATTTCATGTGCTTGAGCAAACTCCATCACATCAGTTGGCCAATCCAAGATCTGATAACCAGATTTGAACGTGGATAGCCCGAAGCCGGGTCTGTCGAGAGCTATGAGACGAACACCACAGCGTTGAGCAATCTCATGAATAGGCTTAGCCTCGAGTCTGCAGGAGGGATATCCATGGAAGTAAAACACAGGCTTTCCATCTTGTTTGCCGAATTCTGCAAAGCCTAGTGTGCGACCATCTGAGAGGTGAAAGGTTTGGTGTGTTTGGGAGGATGTAGAGAGTAAACGTTGGGTTGAGGACGCTGAACGGTTTCGAACCGCCTGGACTGACATTTTGAGCATTTCATTAATGAAGTAATGAGGAAGTGTGTCTGGAAGTCTTGTGGTTATGAGATCGCAGGTTCATGTTATATAGCGGGTCAAGGCTTACACGCGGGATACGCGATACGAGAATACGGAATACGAGGCCAATCAGAAGTCACGATGATTCAGCTAGGGCAACACCAGGAACTCCTTCATCAGGCTTCAGCATTACAAGCATGAATAGCTTCTAATTCTGTGCGACCATCAATTTCCAGGGCATAAATCGGGTAATTCCAATTAAACGGTCTTGGAGTAAGGCGACCAAAACACGCCTTCAGCATCCCAAGTCTTCTTCACATCCCTCAAAACCTCCAACCTCTCTCTATCATACATATCACTCAAGTCCTTTCCAGGCCTCAAATTATTTGGAAAACTTCTCGGCACCATCCCCTCATCACTCTTTCTAAAACCCGCAACTACATCATCCAGAACTGGCCCAAACGCCTCTCGTGTCTTATCCTCTTTGGCCACCATTACCATAAACGCGTTGATGTTTCTATCCCTGCCCTCCACGAACTTCTCATTCTTGATCGCTGAAGTTCTGTCGATGTTGTATGCTGAGATGATGAGGCTTGATTGTTGAGCATCTGGGTATTCCTCCGTTGCGATGCGCCATTTCTCGAAGCCAGCTTTGATAGCTTCGGCTGTGGTCTTGTGAAGACGACACGATGCTATGGTTTTATGACTGTGGTGGGAGTTGTATATGTTCATCTTGGCATTGACGTTCTCAAATGGCAATAGTTCTGTGTTTGCCACAACTGTCTTGCTGACAACATCGTCATGGAAGAGTAAGGCTGTTGCATTCTCAGCCTGCTCAGCGGGACCAAAATACTGGTATGCCAGAATGATGATTGGAGATCCAGCTGCCGGAGTGCCAGGCGGACTTCGTGCAAACGCCAAGCTCATGTATCCTTCGGCTGGAGGGTGACTCAGATCCAGAAAAGCCTTGATAGCGACGTCTAGTGCTGGAGCAGAAAAGATGAGCGCTCTGGTTCAGATCTTGTTGTCCTCCATGTTGAGACTTGACAGTGGAAATGCGGAAACAGTGAGCTCCGTTACGACACCGAGTCCATGACCCGCGCCACTGAGAACGTTGAAGAGAACTTGTCCCTTGCCTCTTGACGAAGAATCGACTTCAGCGATGTCGCCTGAAGCAGTAACAAGTCGAAACGACACCACGTTATCCACCATCCACCCATGGCGGCCAATCTGGGCACTGTTTCCACCTCCAAGCATACTTCCCACAAAGCCAACGGCATCAGAATTGGGAATAGGAGTATAGTAGCCCTCCTTTGCCAAAGTCTTCAGTACCTCTCCAACGAGGACACCGCCGCCAAATTTCACTGTTCCTTCGTGCTTGTTCAGTTCAATCTTCTTGAAGAGCTTCATGTCGAGGTACAAGGATGCTGAGTCCACGCTGACAAACGTTCCATGGCCTCCGCCAGCAGCGACAATTGTAAGCTTGCTCTCCTTCGCAACACGAATGGCATCCTTCACATCTTGCTCGGTCTTTGGGGTAACTATAAGAGCAGGGCGTTCAATGTGTGTGTCGGACCAGCGAGGGAGTTGCGGTGTATCATGGTCAGGGACGACGTATTCGCATTGAAACGACCCAACGCCCTTTATTTGAGCAGACATGTTCACAAAGGCAATTAGAGGCAAAAAGATAGATTATTATTTATTATTTATCGGGCAAAGTCCCGTTCTTATAGTCAGCCCTTCGAGTTGACGGATCTAGTGCTTACCTTTCTATGGATATCTGACAAGGCTCACTTCCGAGATACCCGACTTCTAAGCCGTAGCAATATCACGATATCACATCAGCGGTATTATTCCAAGCACTAACTAACTCCCATCCCCATTCCTCCAGACCATGTCATGTCAAGTCGCGCCAGCACATCTAGTCATCCATCCTAACCCACGAATCCGCCAGCCCTTTACACTTAACACACCACAAGCTCCTCACCTTGAGCATATCCACAAACCCCCCCTGATCATCTCTAACCTTGTACGGCACATCCATCACAAGCTCGCACTGCAAACAAATAACCTGAAACACGTTCTTCCCCTCTGCATTACAGGGAACACACCACCCCGGGCCTAGATGATGAGTAGTCTGGTTACATTTTGCGTTTCCGCAGTGGGAGAGAAACGTATCTCTTTCTACTTCATGCCTGTTGGCGGCTTGTTCGAAGTATATGTCCTTGAGGCACCGGAGACACATTGTCTTGGAGCCTGTGAATGAGACGTGGCAGCGGGGGCAGATGCGGGATTGGGGGTTGAAGACTGGTACGATGTAGCCACGGAGGAAGGCTTGGCGGATGAATGATGCGTCCTCGTCAGTCATTGTTGTGACGGGCGATTGGGGAACGTTACCTGGTTGACACATTCTGTATTGGTTGGGTGGGGGTTTTGTCTTGAAATGGCTATGTTGAAGCGTTAATGTTGGAACTATCGTTGGATGTCGATGTCTTTAGACATGAAGAACCAGTTATACTTATAGAAATTATGGTATTGATCGTCGACTTGCCTCTTCTTAAGTGTGCAAGCTAACCAAGGTCTTGTTCAATCGAGACGCGATATGCTTTGTTCCTCAGGCGTACTCTGTTCCTTTAACACAAAGCACTTGCGTTCTGTGTCAGGGGCAAGGCAACAAGAACAGACCACAGAAATCACTTTCACCACTGGAGCAAAGGTTCATAAATCGGTCATAACAATCGTGTTCAATTCTCAAAGATGCCTCATGTATTCGTCGTAGTACCCAATATCTCCGTCGTGAATCGTCTCTCGTATGCCCATCACCACATCCATGTGTTCAAAGTGCCGGTCCTTCCCACTGCTCACGACGCAGTCTAACAAGCCAAGACTGTTTATGCGGGAACGAAATCTGTTTCTCGCGCGAAAACCCAGTAAACTCTAGACCCTGTAGAAACCTACTCATTGTCAGTGCTGAACAACCATGCTTCAAGGAACAGACTCACCTGGCATTGTCCACTCTTGGCTCAAGGCATATACTCATTGTTCGGTAATCCGATGTCAGGCACCAATGCACCAATCCCGTCAACCAGATTGAAACCCGTCCTCTTGCCCACTCTTCTCCGATGAACACGTGAAGACCCCGATCCCAATCTGCAGCATCGCTACCGAGATGCTGACCAAGAATGTCTTCTTTGACCCAGTAGATCTCAAAGTAACCAAATGGTACGCCGTCCCATTGTCCAATTACAGGGAACGAGTTGGCTTGGTTCAGCGACTTGGTGAGGAATTGTTGATCATACTCGCCCCAGAAGGCACTCACACGAGGCTTCTTCATCCACATCTCCAACAAATCTGCGTCATTCATCGTGGAAAGGTGAGATTGCTCAGGCGGTTTTGGTCCAACAGGTCCGAGGTAAGGTACTGGGTTGGGTGAAATGGAAGCAACTCGGAATGAAAGGTACTGATTAACACTTTGGACAAATCTCGTGTAGAAGACTTCGCCCATTCTAGGTGGCTTTGGTCTCATCGGGTGACGGATATTATTCGTAAAGATGTATTGAAGAGGAGCAGGCGGGTAGTAAGTCGGGAGATGAGAGCTCGAAAAGAAGGGTCCAATAGGAAAGCTTGGCGGGTTCGACACCGATGTTGGAGTTGGTCCACCAGGAAGATCATGATCTACTCGATTCAGAGATGAATGTGGCGAATGGCGTTGGAAAGTCTTATGGAAAGGCGATGGTGGTTCCATGGGTAAAGGTGAATTCGGGCGACTCCCAATAGGTGATCCAGGAACAGAATCGTAATTCGCACCAGCTTTGTTAGGCTGCAAAGAGAAGAGAAAAAGCCGACCAGGGAGTTGCCAAAACATGCGTCTCGACACAAACATATCAGACCAATCCTCCCCGTTATCATCCAAGCTCGTTCCAACAGCACTGCTCCCCGACGTTATAAGTCCCATGCGCTCAAGCTTTGGGATCAAATTGCGACCTCGGAGCACTCCATCGCGCTTGATGTTGATCCTCCATTCACCACGAGGCTTCGCAGCTTGAGGCGTCTTCTCCGCTGCCTGAGCAGGAACTTGCGGCGCAGGTTCGGGCTGGTGAAAGTACCAGTATAGTGTAATCCACAGCATCATAGCAATCTGCCGTGTAGGACTCGCAGCGGGTTTGAACTCGGAGCTCGAAGGGTTCGCGATAGACGAGATGAAGAGGTTATCGCCCTGCAGTGTCGGTTTAGCGAAAGAGTGAATCTGCCTCTTCGCCTTCCCATCCAGCGCAACACCATTCTCTCTATTCTCAACATCCTGCTTGTCCGTATCATCGTCAGATCCGTCATCGCTCTCTGTGTTCAGCACAACAGTCCACCCCACAGGAAACGCATTATGATGCGTGTTCAACTCATGGCTCTTGAAGCCGAGACCTGCAAAGACGGGTGTGACAGTAAAGGTCTGCCCGTCTGGCAGGCGGATGACCTGAGGAGCCATAATCGCGCGCTTCTTCCTTTTTCGGGGCTTATCCGTGGACTAATCGGGGGGTGGTGGGCGCTGTAGTGTTGCGCTTGCGGGGGATCGGCTGGAGACGGGAGGGGAAAAGTTGACTTATGTTTGAACTGGTTTTAGGTCGGTGCTAAAGCTCCTGGAGAAGAGTTCCAGAAGACTGCCTCTTTCGGGTCACATGCTGACCTTTGAAGAGGCGATCGTGACAAACGCCGAGGCGATGGTTGGATGCTCTGATGTAGGTGGTGGAGAGATGTTATATAGGCGTGGTTGGAGGTGAGGGACAGTAGATATGGGCACTGTACGTAGCCTAAGTGTAAGGTCTAACACAGTATTAATATGGAAATGCACTCAGTCTTGTACGTCATGATAAGTCCATCTATCATATCATACCCCGCCATAGACTGGAATGCTTGACTCTATCTCAGCGGCTTTAACCGCGATACGCAATTGTTATCTCGAGGTTTTCGTTTATCAGAATCTCCATGTTACAGATCATTTATGCAAGTCATAAATCTAACATTAAACGAATTGTTTGTTGCCTATCGCTATGCGTACTCCATAATCCATCCGAAATCGCAGCCAGTTCAATTCAATTTACAGCAGTCTCCCTCTGAAGGTGTCACCACACCCACCATCAACAATTGTCGCGTGTTCTAAGCCCCCAATGCTAAGCCATTCGCCATGATCTGATGTTTAGTGTACAAACTCTGCATCTACTCACTTCTAGATCTCGTCGTTTACTGCTTCTTCTTCTTGACCTCATCGGCAGATCCGGGTCCCTCGTCGTCGTCGTCTTTGCCCTCAGTCATCTTGGTACCATCTCGGCCCTTATTCTCCTCCTCCAGAACCTTTTGTACTTGCTCGCCTCCCAGGTCCTTCTTCTCGTCCCAATCAACATCGTACTCACTAGCCACGATCCTGATGTCTCTTCGAAGCTGATTGGCGTCATGAACCAACTGCTCCCATCGATTCTGATCAAATCCTCGTTCTTGGTAAAGTGCAGCTTGTCGCTTTGAGACTGTCACCTTCATGGCCGCCTTGTAGCTTAGGTCGCGGCTCATGTAGAGGAACCATAGGTAAGCACCCATGACGGTTGTCAGACCAGCGAGATACGTAACGGGCTCAACCAGATCCCAGCCCCATTCGGTGTGGAAAGTGACATAGTAGACAACTCCCCACCATCCAGCCAATGCAGCAAAGCCACCTTGTGCCAATCGATGCGCTCCTTTGTGCGCGAGCGTGTCGCATTCATTCTTGACCTTTGACATTCCTTCAATATCGCGTGACATGCGTCTCAAGTTCATACGCATGTAGTATGTTCGGTCTCTGAAACTTGGTACCGCAACTCGAAGTTCCTTGTCGAAGCCCTCAACATCAATCGCAAATTCCCGACCGCGAGCAGCATCTCGAATGAAGTCTCCGATCTCGGTGCTGCCACTCCAGCGCACCCAGTTCGCCTCTTTACGAGAGGGGCCTTCATGGCCCAGACCAGAGTATGACGCAACATTACCGCTGCTGTTCTTTTTGTCATCCTTCTTTCCATGTTGTTCTTCCTGGTCTGCTTCGGCTCGGAAGACGATGTCGGGTAGCTTCTCGCGGCCCTTGTACTGAACTGGGGGGATTTCGGCTTGAATCAATCGCTCGAGGTAGGAAAGAGGTTGCTGGGGGTGTATGAGGAGAGCCAATGGCTCAACTGTTTCGCCTTTGTCCTCGACATCTTGTTGTACTGGTCTGTTGACGTGTTCTTGTTCAGGGTGAAAGGGCATGGGCAGAATGAGCTTCAATAAACGCGTTGGGGTTGTCAATAGACGTCCTGCGCGGGTCAGTATGGATCTCGTGGATTGAATGTATCAAGCTTACCCTTCTTCATTTCCGTCTTGTCGGGTATATCGGGATCTTTCTCAGCTTCCGAGTCCACTCTATGCCATGGCCGATCATTCTCCAAGGTCTGAGCGCTGGCACCAGAGGTGACCTTCTTCATATCCCTCTTGCGCGCCTTTTCACTCAACTCTTCCTTTCGCGCTGTCTCTTCACTCGACTCAGCAGCAGCTTCTTGGTTGAAACATCTCGTTGTTGTGAAAGCGCGTCTAAAGGGTGTTTGTTTTGTCTCGCATCTGTACAACGCTGGTAATTGATGAGAAGCAAATTGTGTATGTGATCGTGATGCTCGTAAAGCAGGAAATACTCCAAGCGCAGCGCGCCTCAGAGCGTGATTCATGACTGCACCTTTACAGTGTCAAGGTAGAGGTTGTATGTCGAGGGAGCAACAATTGAAGGGGCAAGTAAGCTTTCTGGCCAAGGCGGGAGGCACATGCACAAGGGGGACACAGAGGATTAGACGTGGAAATAAGGTCGTGTCATTCATTTACAGCCAAGATTTACCTTGCTTGTTTTGGAACTCTTTGCCCAGTGCGGTCACAACTATCTCATCGATCAATCGACCAGCTGCGGCTTATGACGTCAGGACCCAAGCCAAGCTTTATCTGTCCCTGGAAGCTTCATCCACTCGGCTTCTAATTGGTTGAGAACCCACTGCTCACCGTTAACGCAGTATCACTGCCACAATTCTCAGCTCAGCCAAGAACACAGATATCAGAGACATGGCGCTGTAGAGGTTCTTATGATGATTCGTTCCGGAGGTTAACTTCCTGGTTCCAAGCCTCTTATGCATTGCCACGTGCGCCTCTAAGCTTACACAGACTTGACAGAGCTTCTTGTCGAGAACGCAAGAGGCAATGCAATGTTGAAGAGGCGAAAACAAGAAATACAGAGGAAAGTTAGGCCGCCAGGTAAGCTTATAAGCAAATTTCAGTATTTCGTAGTTATTATATTGACCCTAGTGAACTGAAACGAATGGCTCATGACCTCGAAAGCTAAGTGCAGTTGTTTGAACGTCCACCCTGTATAGTTGCGTTTCTAACGTCGAGGGTTACGCTGAACAGCGTTTTCAACCGAGTTCAAAACATAAGGGGATATATTTTCTCACCTTTGAATCTTACTTCTTGCGTTATAGTACACGACTTATAATCATTGCATCGTGGTTGGGTTACTGTGCAAGTTCAAAATGGAATCGCCTACCCTGTAGCCTTGGACCAACTCCAGTTTCAAGTCAAGGTAAACAACAACATGGGACGAAAGATCAGAGACTCTTCCATTCAGTCCTAAGCACCCATACTGTCATAGTTCAGTTTAGTAGGGACGATGCGAAGCTTGAAAGGCCTTTCCTTTTATCCGCTCAATCACCTTTTGCGTCCTAACTAGTTATGATTAACTTCAAATATGATGGCCAACCCTCCTATCCCCACGTTGAGCCGCTACTCATCTGCAATCTCGCCTACCAAATTACATTTCTCTATAACATGCAGACAACATAACAAGGTCAATTGATCTTAACCCATCGTTTATATAAGAGCCGTTCCAAAAGCCTATTCTTAATAGACATATCTAACTCCACTACAAAACGAACCCGTCACTGGCAAGTTCCCAAGCCTGAACTTAAAAATCATATTGGCTGATCCCCAAAAGCTCCCCTTGGTGTTGAGGGGCTTCAGGGGTCCAGAGGGGTTTGGACCCCGCACTATACTCCATGAGGTTACAATCCGACCAATTCTCTGAGCAACCCGTCCACGGCTCATTTCCCCATAGGTACAACAAGTCGGTGAAGTCAATTTTCCTTTTCGTCAAGCCCGAATCTTGCGTCCCTATTATCAATTGAGCGTCTGATTTGTTTCACTCCAATCTTTGTTTCAACCATCTCCAAACCTCCCTCCATCTGCATATACCCCGCTTCATAATGTCCGATACCAAGGTCTACCGCGCCAGCACCACTGCGCCCGTCAACATCGCCGTTGTCAAGTAAACACTACACCCTCATCGCATCTTGAAGACCTTCACTAACACCATACAGATACTGGGGAAAGCGCGATGCTAAGCTCAACCTCCCTACCAACAGCTCCCTCTCCGTAACCCTCTCGCAAGCCGATCTCCGAACCCTCACAACAGCCTCGTGCTCGAGCACCTTCACCGATGGCGACAGCCTCACTCTCAACGGAGAGTCCTCCGACATCTCTGGCGCCCGGACCCAAGCTTGCTTCCGCGAGCTTCGATCCCGCCGCGCTGCTCTTGAGGCCGCCGACTCTTCGCTCCCCAAGCTGTCCACATACCCTCTGAAGCTCGTCTCCGAGAACAACTTCCCCACTGCTGCTGGCCTCGCTTCATCGGCTGCTGGTTTCGCTGCGCTCGTCCAGGCTATCGCTCTTCTGTACGAGCTTCCCGACTCGCCCTCTGATCTTTCGCTCGTCGCTAGACAAGGTTCTGGATCTGCCTGCCGCAGTCTCTTCGGTGGATATGTTGCATGGAGAATGGGCGAGAAGGAGGATGGAAGCGACTCCAAGGCCGACCTTGTCGCTCCCGCTTCACACTGGCCTGACATGCGGGCTCTGATCCTCGTTGTCAGCGCCGCCAAGAAGGGTGTCTCTTCCACCTCTGGCATGCAGCAGACCGTCGCTACCTCTGGTCTCTTCAAGGAGAGAATAGCAAACGTTGTCCCCGCCAACATGACCGCCATGGAGGAGGCCATCAAGGACAAGGACTTCCCCAAGTTCGCCGAGGTCACCATGCGCGACTCCAACTCTTTCCACGCCACTTGCGCCGACACCTACCCTCCCATCTTCTACATGAACGACGTTTCCCGCGCTGCGATTCGTGCTGTTGAGTACATCAACGAGAAGGCTGGCAGGACCATTGCCGCTTATACCTTCGACGCTGGTCCTAACTGTGTTGTCTACTACGAGGAGAAGGACGCTGATACTGTTGTCGGCACTTTCTACCAAGCGCTCCAGGGTGTTGGCGGTTTCAAGGAGGGTGCTGCTAGTGCCAAGTCCAGCGTTGAGCTCGAGAGTGGTCTTGCTTCTACTTTGAAGGAGGGTGTGAGCAGAGTTATTTCCACTGGTGTTGGTGAGGGTCCTATCAAGACCAATGAGTACCTTGTTGGAGAGGACGGCCAGGCTGTTCGACGATAGACGGGGACATAAAAGATCCAGTGAAGTAAATAGCATGTTGGAATGATATCAAGAGAAGTTTGAAGCTGAAACAAAATACATGGTTGCTTGTTATGTCCTGGAAGTGATCCTGCTGCCGATCATGATCATGAGTCGAACCATCGTTGATCCTCCACATCGCCGTGTGGGGCCGTCCAAACTCACCTCCCGCCTTCACTCGGCTCCGGGGAACATGATAAGTCTCCACCAAAAGATCAATGCCTACCTACAAAAGAAACATCTTTGAGTTTTCTAAATCCTAGTCAAGACTCAGTCCTAAGGGCGCATTGTACCTGCCGGTCGCACTGACACGTCTTTGCCCTGCGGGGCACTGCTCGTGTCACTGCAACATGTGCCGTAACACCACTGTGAGCAGCAGCCTGTAGCTCGCTCACAATCTTCCAACTCTCATCCTTACAACCTCATCAACACCATCGCGATGGATGGCCTAACGAACCTCCTGGGTCGCGGCGAACCTGTTGAGATCGTGGAGCTGGATAAATCGGGAAATGTCTCGCGAACCTGGAATCACACCGTCGACAACCATGTACGTTGCTTTACTTTCCCTTGAGAGCATGAATATCACGGCTAACCTAGCTTCAGGTCGTCGCCAAGTCGAAACCTAGCATCCCACTCATTCCCTCTCTTCGCGAGGCCTTCATGCCAGTCGGATACCCTCACTCTGTCTCATCCGACTACCTAAACTACCAATTCTTCGACTCCCTTCAAGCTTTCTTCTCAACCATCACTTCCCTCCTCGCAAACCGAGCTCTCCTCCAAGGTCTCGGCGTCGGAGATGCCAACTCATCCGCCACATTCGCGATGCTGCTCACAGTCCTCAAGGACGCCATGTCTCGCATCGCCACTATTGTCTTTGCCCACCAATTCGGTCTTCGTATCGAACCCGACGCCAAGCGCTTCCGCTTCCTGGCTGATCTTTTCAACGACACTGCCTTCTTTCTGGAGCTGTACAGCCCGTACTTTGGGCCCTATGGAAAGATCCTTGCTTTGACTTCTGGAGAGGCGTTGAGAGCGTTGTGTGGCGTGGCTGCTGGCGCGAGCAAAGCTGCTCTTAGTGTACACTTTGCAAAGCATGACAACCTCTCTGAACTCAATGCCAAAGAGGCCAGCCAAGAGACCGCTGTAGGTCTTATCGGCCTTCTTGTTGGAACTGTCGTGGTCAAGTATGTCGAGGACCACCACAGCGTTCTATTCTTGATGACAATTCTCGTCTTTGCCCATCTATGGATGAATTACCTTGGAGTTCGAGCTGTGTGCATGGACAACCTTAACCAGCAGCGCGCAACCATCCTATTCGAAGAGTATCTCAAGACCGGGAACGTGCTCTCCCCCGAAGAAGTCGCCCGCCGTGAGAATATTCTTCTCTGGCGACCCGTCGTCCGAAACCAGCATGGACAGAAAATCGCACGCATCGAAATGGCCAAAAGCTACTGGGATGCCATGGGCGCCAAAGCTCCAAACAGCAACATTGTCATCATCGATGGCACCCGGAACTCACTCTTTGTCTGGTATCACTCGAAGCGCAGCTACACGCCCATCAAGATCATGCTCTGGCAGGACGCTAGTGCCGTCCACGCCATCAGTGCTTGGTTCATGGCCTTGGAGATGGCCTGGCTTCTGGAGAAGAGCCAGGGCTACACCGACAAGCTGGATAAGATCTTCCGCGTAAAGGAAACAGTTGATGGCTACGAACAGAAGTACGACAAGCGTGAGCTCTGGGATGAGATGCTCGCCAAGGGATGGAACATCGAGTCGCAGTCCTTCGAGACAGGCGCGCCTGTTCGTCTGCTCGCTCAGCTGGAGGGGAAGAAGGATCGGTAGTTAGATTGGAGGCTATTGGCGTCAAGGCGAAAGGGAATAATACCCTAGAATATGAAAATTGATTCAATGGAGATTTATGCTAGTCATCCAACCCTCTCTATGCTTTTTGCCCATGTTGTACATTTTCCAAAACGCCCTCCAGTGAATCACTCATACATCATACATATTTCATACAGCAGTTCGTCGCTATGCAAGGAATGCCCACTTCTTGGCTCGCATCTTAACACCCTCCCATGTATTCAGCTTCGGCCGCACATCGAGATAGAAACTAGGTCCCCCCTTTCCATCTGGCCGTCCAGCATAAAAGTCGATAACGTAGTCAACCCTCGTACCGCATCTGTCGATAACCCAATCGTGTCGGTCGAACGGCGCCGTGTAGCCGAGTATAGTATTGAAGCGAGCGGTGGGTGTCATGCGATCCATCTTGTTGGCAAAAGATTCAAGCTTAGGTCCATCGCATCTGGTACAATTAGTTCTCTTCCTATCAATAGAGATAACAAAGCCTTACTTTGTGCCCTTGAGATACGGCGCTTCCCACTCCTTGATCTCCTTCCAAGCTCTTTCATTGACAGCATTGTGAATCGGCACAACGGTCTTCATGTCCGCTACCCTTGCATCGTAACCCTTTCGCTTCATCGCATCGAAAAACATCTTCTCCGAAGGATAGACCCAGTTGCCGGAGGGATCTACACCAGTCTCCATTTCATGATTCGCAGGCTTTGCGGGTTCTTTTCCATGATCGACCGGACACGCCGCAGGTCCGCCAGAGGTTCGTGGAATCGTGGATACAACGCGATCAGTATCTAGACCACCGTTCGAAGGATTTTGGGTAGGCAGCGGTGCAGGTTTGCTCGAGGACCATGGGAGATATGATGAGAATGTTTGAGACCATGACTTCGATTGCGCTTGAGCTGTGTGGTCGACTGGACATCCAGCTGCCTTTGCCTTTGCGGCTTCTGCTTCACGGGCTTGAGCGAGCCATGCTTCGCGGGATTTGTGATCGACGGGACATGCGTCTTTGTCTGCCATGACGAGGATGATACGCGGTGTTATCGTCGGGAAGGGTTGGGCGACGATTCGGGGGTTTCGAGAGAAAAATGGCGTAATTGATCATGGATGGATCGGATCGTAAATGCGCCGGAACGGATTGGCCTGGAGGTTTGCGAAGAAAATAAATATGGGTCACGTCCGGGTTTTTCCCGCACAGGCAGGGGTCTGCACCCGGAGGTTAACCTACATCGCCGACTTCACTCCGTTGAAATGAATGCTTGTATTAAATTATCCAAGTTTAGCAAAGGTTTATGAAGTTAGACCTTACTTATTAAATATTTTAGAGCAGCCTTAGGATTGATGTACAGAACTCGAAGTCGGGGAAAAGGTCGCAGAAGTCCCAGAAGATTCCCAAGAGGATATATATAGTAATCGGGGATAAAGGGAGACGACGGAGAAATGCTTGAATGGCCGAATTCATAAAGAGCGCCGATAGACTCGACTGTGGGGTATGTCTGAGTCGCAGAGACGGGAAGTCTGCAGACGACGATAAGGTCATTAGAGACATCGATTGGCTCTCTCACTGTTCCTGCCCATGTGCTGGGAGGCATACGGAAGCGTAGACCAGTAAAGTTGCGGATCTCATTACTCTGCATATAATGAAGCACCAGGGGGGTTCGGGGCCTCCATCTATCTCGAATTCTCTTCGTTATTTCATGCAAGGTCTTGCAGGTTGTCATCAATGTTGTAAATATTCCCGGCTTGTTCAGAGCGTTACCGTTATCAAGGCCTCCGTTCGAAGTGACTTTAAGCCGCATTTGCGTAGCTGTGAGGGGGATGTCCAGGAGGTCAACGAAGTGGGCGGTTGGTTCGTCCAGGTGACTGCGCGCTGCAATTTCCTAGATATCCCGTTGCAGTTCTGGGTAGAGCTCGGGGAACTTTGTGAAAGACATGATGAATGCTGATAGATCTTTTGTACGATGATCGTGATGATGGTGATTGTGATGACGTTACTGTTGTGTACGTGCGTGATGTGCTTGACAAGGCAAGATTAAGGAACCTTGGGACTTGAAGAGATGAAGGCAGTAACAATTAAGATGTTGGTGGGGAAGTGGCAGTCAATGGCAAGTTACGTAGCGTTGGGCATTGTACCTTACCCAGCGTTAAATCAAACTTAGGATCTTAATCCTAAAATACCTATAAAAAGACAGAGGTAACTCAGTATAAGTTTAGGATAATAATCCCAAGTTATAAAAAGATATAGGTAACTTAGTATTAGGTAAGTTGAGGATAATTTTGATAAGTTTATGTTAACACCCTCCCTATATTGAAGTCTGCTATTTTCTTGCTCCCCGAGGAATACCAAGAATATTATGAATGTTTGTATTCTAGCTGGAAAGACCAGGTGACAGTTATGTGTAGATATGCAAATTAGGTAGTCGTCCTACATGGCATACCCGATTTCAGGCCGCCTTGCCCGCCTCACGGTAACTCTTATACTTCCTCATATGCCAGTCAATGCTCTTCCACCGCTCGCCCTTCTCGTCCTCAAACTCAACATCCATTCTCGGCCTCATAAAGTACGCGCACGAGAACCTATTCTCAATCGTCTCCCCCGGGTACGGAGCCACGCGGTGCACCACAGACCGGAACTTCTTCCCCGAGAGGAAGCGGAGCGAGTCGCCTACGTTGACGACTGCGCAGCCATCGCGAGGCTCCACGGATCGCCACTCCTGCGTGTCCTGGTTGAATGTCTGCAAACCGCGATCGCCACAGAAAAGAATGGTCAAGCTGCCCACGTCGGTGTGGGCGCTGAGGCCTGCGTTGGGACCGTCGGTTGAGAGGGAGGGATATCGCTGGACGGTCATGCATGAGGTTGAAGGGTCTGTAGGGAGGTGTTTGGGCGCAAGGAGTATGCTTGTGTCAAGACCTGCGTCGTGACTGATCTGGTCCAGTGCATCGAGCAGTCCTGTGCCGATATCATGGAGCTTGTCCATGACGCTGGCCAGAAGGGGAGCTTCATCCTGCAGTACATGTGGTAGGGAGAGGGGATGCCCGTCTATGATGGCGTTGCATATACCATCTCGGGGAAACTGGTAGTGTTATGTTATTCACAGTTCCGATGAATGGACTTGTTGGATAACTTACTGTGTATCCCTCCACGCCATGCTTCTTCCCATCTCCAGCGAGGCCCGCATTCCTCCCGAAAGGGGTGTAACTACACTCAATAAGTCAGAACGAAAGCAACAATACGGCAGAGTTGAGGATCAACGCACCCATTGAGCTTCCAGGAGCCGATTTTGTCGACGTCATACTTCATCTTCTTCTCCTCGCCCAGCTGGAAGAAATTATTCACGGCCTTGTATACTAACGGTACCTCTTGTATGGCTGGCATAGGCTCTTCGTGAGTGCTCTGGAGATCTAGGTACAAGAACCCATCCTTTTCACATGCTCTCCGGAGAGCGGACAGCTCATTGGCGTTTCCTTGCTTGATCCTTGTATAAGAGATAGTTGTAAAGTCAGCGGACTCAGGTGAGGCGACTGCAGTTGTTTTGGTGATTGTGGCTGTGGTTGACATATTGGCTGACTTAGATATGTGAGTGAGTATATTTCCTGAGGAAAGGGCTGAGAATCGGCATCATAGGATTTCAAAGCCTCTGATATATCATGATACCAAACGGTTTGGATGCCGTCAACGGCTCTGGATTAACCCGTGTCTTGTAAGCTAAGAATACATCGACCTTACCATCCAATGTGAATGTCAGCCAGGTTGGGCTGAGAACGGCTGCAGTGTCATTCATGCAGGGTTCCCAATCAACACCATTATTGGTGAATGTTAGTATAAGTCAACATTCTGCGGGGTCATTGTCCCCTCTCCATTTCATGCAAGTCACACCTGACAAAGATCGTTCTGACACTACATCACACCAGTTTACCATAAACTGACATCGGTATAGGTGATCGCCAACTGGGCCCTGGCTGTGGCAGTTTTCTTGAGTCCGCATCCGGCTCCAATCCTTCGTCCATGCTATTGCGGCACAGATCACAATGAGCATCCCAGGCCTCCCCGTGGAGGGATCACCGCAGTCCTACTGGCAGCATGAAGCCCAGAAGCAACAAGTGCCTACACATACTGAACCTCTCCCAAGATCATGTGATGTAGCTATCGTGGGCGGTGGTTATGCAGGCATTGCTACGGCTTACCACATACTGAAAGCGACCTCTCCACCACCCAATGTGTTCCTCCTGGAGGCAAAGGGTCCGTGTTCTGGAGCTACAGGACGGAATGGAGGACACCTGCGCCCTGACTATCTGATGGGAGCTGCAAGCAACTCAAAGAAGTACGGTGCCTCTGCGGCGGCCGAGATCGTGCAGTTCGAAGCCCGTCATCTCGACGTGATGAGGGCTCTTATCAAATCGGAAGCTATCGACTGCGACTTCGTGGAGACAGAGAGTCTCGCTGTTCTTACAACCCCCGGGCAAGTCTCCATGGTTCGTGAGGCATACGAGGCCTTGAAGCAATCATCGTCTTTTAGTGATGAGCTGCTGGATATGGTAGAGTTCCACGAGGGTGAAAATGCACCTCAGCGCACAGGGTTGCGAGATGCAAAAGGCTATTTCTCCACGCCTGCAGCTCGGGTATCGCCCTACAAGCTTCTCACGGCTCTTTTGGCGCAGTGTGTCGATATGGGACTCTCGCTAAAGACCCAGACTACGGTGGTATCAATTGAGGACGCTGAATCAGGCGGTCATATCCTCAAAATGCGCTCGGGAGAAACCATGACAGCTCGAACTGTGGTCATCGCCACGAACGCCTATACCCCAGCACTTCTCCCCGAGTACGCTAGCTCTATCATTCCCTGCAAGGGACTTGCATGCCACATAACAGGCCCCAAAGGCAAGCCACTACCGAGACTCCTTGCGGCAAGTTATGCTATAATGGAACAGGACACCATCTCCAACAAGACCGGCTACAACTATATGGTACAACTAGACGACGACAGTATAGTGGTCGGTGGCGCTCACCACAAGTATGATGAGAATGACCCAGGGAGCTGGTACAACAACGTCGACGACACGCAACTCATTGAGCCGGCGCGGCGGTACTTTGAAGATGACTACATGCAGCGGACGTTCGTCGGGTGGGAGGAGCCGGGCGCGCGTGTTGACCGCGTTTGGACGGGGATCATGGGGTATAGTACTGATTCGCTCCCTCACGTAGGCGAGGTTCCCGATAGATATGGTGTATTCGTAATTGCTGGGTTCCATGGACACGGTATGCCTGTTATCTTCTTGGCCGCGGAGGGCATTGCCGCCATGACTCAGGGGCTGGTGTACGAGGATACTGGAATGCCGTATTTGTTCAAGACCTCTAGGGATAGGTTGGAGTCGAAGAGAAATGACATCCTGGCTGGAAGGGGAATCCGGTCGACGGAGGAGTAGAGTATGGCTACTGTGTGGTTGCACATATAAGGACAGCATATAAACTAGACTATGTGCGTATGAGATGGTACTTTAGCAAATGCACGTCTTCCTGGTACCTTTGATTACCCACCAAGTCCTGAAACTCCAGGTCTATCTATACTTTGTCTTCAGTCCTTTCGAAAGCCTGCTCAAAGTCCGCAATTATATCCCTTGCATCCTCTATTCCAAGAGACAACCTCACGAGATCCTCATCCACCCCCATAGATAAGTTTTCCTCCTTGGTGAAGTGCTTATGTGTAGTTGACCAGTGGTGCCCAACCAGTGTCTTGGAGTCGCCCACATTCGTGGTGTTGATGATCATCTCAAAAGAGTCGATCAGTGAGATAGCCTCCGCCGCGCCGCCTTTGAGCCCGAACGTGATGACGGTGCCAAAGCCCCGCTGGAAATACTTGAGGGCAAGTTGGTGGTGAGGATGATCTTGGAAGCCTAGATAGCGCACCCAGGCAACTCGGGGATGGGCCTGGAGCCAGAGGGCCAAGGTCTCGGCGTTCTTGGACTGACGCTCGCAGCGGACCGAGAGTGTTTCTACCCCTGATCACAGTGAGTAAGACCATAGATTGTCTTCATGTAAAGATGTTGTTTTGATTCTTACCAATGAATAGCTGCTGGGCTGCAAATGGACCAAGGCATGGTCCAGTGTCACGCATATACTCAGTCTTGAGATACTGCATGTACGCCCTGTCACCAGCAGCTGCATACCAATGATCCTGCTCACCCTGCAGTCCCGGAAGCTGTCCATAAAGAACTGGAAAGCGAAGCCTGTTAGTCTGCCAATCCGAGCGCCCAGTCTCAATAACGAGACCGCCAAGGGTGGTGCCATGGCCTCCTATCCACTTGGTGGCGGAGTGGATGAGGATATCGGCTCCCCATTTAGCAGGCTGACAGAAGTAACCAGCCGCGGTGAGTGTAGCGTCGACCACAAGAGGGATCTTGAGATGTTCTGAGTGTGCAATTGCAGCGAGAGCTTCAAAGTCGGGGACGGAGAACATGGGGTTTCCGAGAGACTCGGTGAAGATGAATTTGGTCCTGTCGTCAATAAGGGATTTGACATGCTCGAGATCGTTTACATCACAGAAACGTGCTTCGATACCGCTATGAGTTCAATTTAGTCTACTGACTTCTCCCAATGGCAACACGCAAAAGACTTACAGCTGGGCCTGCGCCTTGCGGAACTGACGATACGTTCCACTATGAATGCTGGTAGACACGATGACATTATCACCCGTTCCTGCTAGCGAAGAAACGACGCCCAGGACAGCCGCACTGCCAGATGAGAAAGTGAGGGCATCCCTGCCATCCTCGAGGGCGGCGATGCGTTTCTCAAGTCCATCGTGAGTCGGCTGCGAATCTATATTAGACACAGTCGTAAATAGCACTAGGAGACAGACTCACATTAGATACCCGGGTATACAAATGGTTTTGGGAGCTTGATATGTCACTCAAAGCTACGTTCAGAGCGGCTGAAGAGCCGAATTTGAACGAGGCTGTGTTATAGATGGGTAGCGTGCAGTGGCCATACTTTGGGTCTACTTCCAGCCCTGCATGAATCTGGATAGTGTCGAATCTCCATTTTGGCTTGTTCTTGATAATCCCGTTGGTTGAGGGCCGCGATGATTTCTTATCCGAGGTCCCGTTGGTGTGCCCATTTGCGTTGTGTTCTTTCATGCTGGGCTGTGGAGAAGTAGAACCCGGCGATTGTGGTTGTAAAAATTAAAAAACAAAAGCAACGTAGAGAGACTGTATAGGGCGAAGAGAACATAGGACTGATGTTCGTAGGGAGCATGGCTAGATAGCCACTCATACGAAGGAGCGGCCTGCACTAGCACGTTCACTTTGGATCATTGCCTCTGACTCTGCAGGGTCATGCGCGGGTCTTTGCCTTTTCAGGCCTTTAATTATGTAAGTATTACATGCATAAGCTAATCGTCAAGGGTAAGGTGATTAGGATACAAGTTATGTTATACGTGGATTGGGCGGGGTTGACTTTGTATCATTCCACCATGCTGTAGCGAGAGAGGATGAGGATGAGATTTGGATATAGGATAGCGATATGATTCTCACTTTCCTTTGGCATCTACGGGCTAAGAAACGCAACTAGGCTGGACTGTGCGTGATATACGTGCATTCCAGTCGTCGTCTTTGGAAAACACCAAAGGTTGATTGAGCAACTCCTGTATGCATATAAACACTTGTCACTATTGAACCACATGAAACCATTTAAGGTGCCATCGGGTCATTACGAACCCTCACCATATGGCGATACATCTAACTTCAATACTCCAGCGAGCTGGCCCGTAAGCAGCATCACCAAGATCAGGACTCGCATGAGGCGCGCCCCCAACATCGCCAGACACCAACCCTCCCCCAAGAGCAGCACTATCAAAGAACTTGAGCACAATGACCTCGTCTGGCTTCTGCTCCGGCAGATAGTACCACTGCGGACTCTCCAGTCCACCCTCAGCCACCCCCGACTCCTCGTATGCTTTCGCATCAGCTTCACTGATAATCACAGACTCCAACTCTCGTAGAAAGTCACCGCCCATAGAAGGCGCTGCTAACATTCTAGACTCATAACCCAGAAATCCTAATGCCCCGTCCTTGGAGAAAGACCATCGAGGCGCCATTGCTAGCGGATCCCGCGTGACCGTTCGCATGGGCCGCCAGACGCTGTAGGCTGCGTAGCGCGGTCCTAGCTTGCCGTCCGCGTTATACTCTGCATCGATGATATCGTTGCTCGCCTTGTCTTGGGCATCGACTTGAGCTGCGGTACAGATCTTATTTTCGGCACCGATGATCCCGGCCTCAAGTGCGGCTTTGTGAATGTCTGGCCTCCAGCGACGGATGGAGCGCCGAGCACCAACAGGCGTATAGTCTACATGTGCTCCTCTCGCAGGCCTCGAGTTGTCAGAGGATGCAAGATGCGTTGGCCGAGTTTCATCTGACGCTTTATAGTTATCAGGTACGGTCTTCTGGTCTTTGCCATTGACGGCCGCCGAGCTACCGACTCCACTCGCAGGTTTCTTGACCGGCGCATCACCTCTTCGAACGATACTGTTTGTGATGAAGACATGCCTCGCCCCTGTCAATTTGAGGATTGACTCTTTCACTTCAGGGAAATAAGTCTCCTCTAAAGCTTGCAAGTCATCGTAATCTCCGGCCTGCACCTCGTTGTCGATTCTGGCCCATTTTGGGTCAAACTTGATGGCGGTGAAGCCAAAGTCCTTCAGGATCTCTGCCGAATGCGACCAAGACCAGTCTGCACCATCGGGGAAAGCTACTGGGCGTAGATCATGCAGAACGTATGGTACAGGAATCTGCTTTACGCTGGGGTTATTCGTGTAGCCCCTGTTCCAAGCTTGTTCCGAGGTATGTCGCACGCCATCATCGATCTGATACCTGATAGTGGCGATTGTTGACGGATGATCTGTTTGGGAGGTTTGTTTGGCCTTGGACATATGATGAGACATGATGATGGATATGAGAATGGATGCCTGTAGTGAATGCTGGTGATATCCAACAGCTTGGAGACCGTGGGTCACCTACACTCATAACACTAGCTCATGATATAAACACCAGTTCAGAGCCATTCTGGCAACATTCAGGCCACATTGACCATGCCTCAAGTTGTCAAGAGACCTGATACTCTGTCAAGCGGGTATCTATCATCCAGGCACCTTACATGCCTAAGGTAGTGCTTCTGTCACACCACTTCCAAGTCTCGAGTTTGTTTTGTTGCCATCCGTCTGCCGTGCAGCCATGTGAGAAATTTAGTGATGTGCCACCCGTGTTAATCCCCCGAGCCACATGCAAAATCTCCAAGGATCATCAATCACGCAATAGTACTAATCAGTTAGCAAGGGGGCCAATCGCAGGGCTGTTGGCTCGAATCAGATACGGTCTGACTAAACGGATAGACGGTCATCACTGCTCATTTCAGTTAGCAGGATCAACATCTTCAGGTACCTGTTGGCCCTGACAAACAGCCCATGGTTGAGTGACAGGTGAGGCGAGGCGAGGCGAGGTGCGCAGTCATAACCTGCTCTTGCGCCCGCTGCTCTGACCATGCATCACCAACTGCAACGGCGTTGACAAAAGGTCCTGACACAGGCAGCCTTCCCATTCGTCGTTGACACGCTTTATTTCCAGGACAAGATTTATCTTTGACTTGACCAGGATTTATATCCAGTACCATTCATTCGTTGTTCACCGTCAATTCATACAATGTAACTGGGCATAAGGTTGCAAATATTGTTTAAGCTTACAAGTTTTGTTTAAGCTTACTCTCCATCTTACGCTCCGGACGGAACTGGGAAGCCAAGCCGGGACCTGACATGGTGTCGGGCTCCGGAGAATATATTGATTGACTAGGCCCGCCTATTGAGATCAGCTAGATCGATACAGGTAGCGTGCAGGGAGATCGCAGTCCAAGGTACTAGTTATGCCCGCGTTAATCCCCATCAACCACCTCTTATCAGTGGAGTTCGTATACAAGCCGTGCCGGCATCTTGTTTGTTTTGGGATATGGTGATGGCTAGAAGGATTCCGTCTAGTCTGTATATGTATACGGCACGGCAGAGAATCGCGATTATGATACCTCAATGATCTCATGAGCCACTCCAGCTGCCTCATTCGGTATATAAGCACGCAAAAAACATACCCGTAGGGCCGTAGCCAACTCCCTGCTACACCAAGAACCCTGCTCTCCTTTGCTGTCGCCTGGAGTATTTGGGGTCCGAAACACTCAAACTTCCACTTCCTCCGTCGACACATTCAGAGTCGTAGTTTGCGCGTTCCTGAGCGCCAAGGGCTGTGCCGGGGAGCCGTATTATACGCCATCACCATGGTTTATTAGTATGGACTGCCACTCTCTACGCCGCTAGCAGGGTGAACATCTCTTGGCTCTCAATTGAAATGGAAGAGCTTGAAGCCTGCGTCCTCTTCCCATCGCCCAAGCAGCAGGAAACGCAGCGTCTCCGCGAACGCAACAGAATTGCCAAGAGGGCATCGAGTATGTTACCACGACTTTACTGCAATTGCCTTCTCTTCTCGGTGCTCACATGCCTTAGGAGCGCGACAACGGCAACGTGAGCAGCACAGCGACAATACTGCGGACGTTGCAGTACAGCCAACGCCAACTGCAGAAGCAACTTCGCAGGACTTGGCTCCGCCATTGCACCCGCCACAATATCCTGGCTCTGGCTCTGGCTCTGGTTCTAGCTCTGACTCCGCCTGTGTACGGGCCGAAGCGTCGGAAGACCTTGGCGTCTGGGCACTAGACGGCCCCCTAGACGACCCTACCGCCCTGCCCTGGCCCTCTTCTCTCGATGAGGACTGGCCTGGTTTTAGTGGTTCACTAGTGGACACGCTTAGCCCTCGTCAGCTCTCAGTCTCAGTCCCAGTCTCAGTCCCGGGGATATCCAACCCAGAGCCGAGAGCACCACCTCCATCTTCCACGACTTCACTCACCTCCGACTCCAGCGATCTCAACAGTAGACCATCTAGGCTACTCCACATCGCCGCTCGCAATGGAACGACCGGGATTCTCCTCTCGCTGATCAAGGCCGGCGCAGATGTGAACTCGCGCGACTGCTCCGGCACAACTCCCCTCCATATCGCTGTACGCTTTCGACGTGCAAGTGTTCTCGAGCTGCTGGTGAATCACGGAGCAAATATCAATGCCCGGGACTCGGCCAACATGACGGCCCTTGAAGTAGCAGTGAGGGCTCAGGACGAAGAGCTCGTCAACATTCTCCTCTCTGGTGGAGCTGAGCTTCATTAATCAAGTGCTTGAATAGAACAGCCACTATTTGACACAGGTAATTCTTTCTTTTTGGTACATGGGCTAGCAACATATCTAGATGGGGGCATAGTGCAATACACGAATAATGACTTTTTGAACTTCATGGTATGCGACTTGTACTCCTGAACGCCTAACTGCCCTTTGCTGTTGAGGACCATCTTGTGTTGGTGGTCATGTCGTTTACGCTTGCGATGGAGTATGATCGGTCACGTCGTATCATATACACAAATGTTCGCAAAACGATCAAGGTTGTTCGTCATGTCAAGTTTTTGTGATGTTGGAAAAGCAGTGATCGTATCGTCATCTACTGGCATCTTGCTCATTGTTCACTCCTGATGTGTATCAGCAAAGTGACTTTGTCTCCTGGATTCATTATGTACCTCGATACGAGCGTCTAGCCACCCAAGACACGCGTCGCTAACTCGTCAAAGATTTCTTGCTTTATTTGCTTCATGAAGTATTCGTCTTTTCCATTCTCGACCCAAGACAATCTACGCTCCAGTGACTCAATGTCGTCTCGAATTTCTATTATTGCAACCTCCTCTGTATCCTTCTCGCTTCTTTGCGCGGTTTGTAGTGATGCGACCTCTGCCTCAAGATCCTCCTGCCTCTTCTTCAAACGCTCTACCTCTTCACGAAGTTGCGCGTTCTCAGCTCTCAGCTCTATAACTACCTGTGACTGGTCTGTAGGCTGGGCAGTCTCAGCTTGCGACTCGTCAGGCTTTGGCTTCTGGTCTCGGAGCTTAGCATTCTCAGCTGTCAGCTCTCCAACCTTGTTGTGGAATAAGGACTCTAGCTTCTGTAGCTTGTCCCAGACTTGGCTGATGCTATCGGGCCCTTGGGGACTGTCCTGTCGAGGTCGTTTACGTTGATATGAGGGAGCGCTCGGCGGTTGTGAGCTCGTCGCCTTCTCATACGATGGAGGTTTGGGTGGAGAGAGTTTTGTAGCTTTTGCTCCGCTGCCACTGAACATGCGCGAAATATCATACTCGGGGCCAGAAAAGGGTTCGAGCAGACCTTTTGTTGCTCTGTCGCTTATAGAATTGAGTTGGTCGAGGGATAATAGAGAATCTTGAATATATATTCGTAGAGCTGTGACATGGGATAGCTCGTAGAGAGAGTCCAGAACCTTGCCAGAGCGTGGCCGGGACGCTGATATTGGCTCTTTCACGTAGCTGGGGACGAGTACGGCGATAGAGTTGCTCAGTTCAAACTCGAGACATGCGGCAGAGCTAAACCGTTGCTTTTTCAAAGAGTCCAAAGCGTCAATGTTTGTAGAGAAGCGGAAACAAGTGATGAATAAAGGGCTAATTCGTAAGAAAACCGCCGCACTACTTGGCTTGTCTTTAAATTTGATAGGAACAATTATCTCGAAGTGAACGCGATGTTTGTCGTGGGTCGAATCGGCATGTATCGTAAAGCGTATCGGTACATTGTCTGGATCTGGAGTGGCTAAGGAACGCGTCGCGCCCTCCCATTCCCACTCAAGGACGGCGGGTGTCTGTTCAATGTCGATACATGATGGAGTCGCCATAGTTCGTGCAGTGCCTCACATACCGCTGACTGCCAAGATACTAAATGGTCAGTACAACAAAAGTCGGGACTCACCTGCAACTCCCCAAACTCGACAACGCACACCAAAGAGAAGCCGGCTTCGCTGCCAGGCTACCTGTGACCTCCAGATGAAACTGCTAGGTCGCCCCAAACTCCAGATGAACTGCGAGATTTGAGCAGGTCCCTTCTACAAGCCCCGGTTATTCCACAGAGCGAGGCAGGATGCGCTTGCTGGGTGGGTATAATCCGGAATTTTACAACGGCTGTAGCGCGATTCACGGGCTTCTCTCGGTGAGCATTGTTGAGAAAGGGTTCGGTCGGGTCGGGGCGAGCCGGGTAAAATGAGGCAAAGGCTTCTGGGAGAGTGCGCGAAGATTAGGGCGGAAAAGAAAGTGAAGGTTTCGAGAGCGGCGTGAATTATGGCGAAGGTTCAGAGAGAGAGATTGAATGATGGTAGTAGTGAGCGTGAATTGTGGACGGTGAACAGGAGGCTGGAGAAGATGTTCGGCTTCGGCGATACAGTTAGTCCGACAGCAACGGCCAGAGTGGGGCGGGTGAGTCAGCCTGATCAGATGACGTCGATGTTGTGCAGCTTAGCGCTTAGTTATGTGCAGAGGCTCAATTTATATCTGCACTTGTAAAGAAGCTCTAAAAGTCTACTCATCTTCGCCAGCTAAGCGAATGTTAAAGCTCCTGGTCCCTCTCGTTCACGGACACCATCACTTGCAACATCAACCTGGCCTTCTCTCTCTCTCTACCTCTCATAGAACATGACTTCTCAATATAACTGTATCATTCTATCCATGGCCATACCTATCACTCACAAGGGCCTCGTAAACCTCCGGGAATTCCTGAGCTAGTTGAAATGCGTGCTCTCGACTGTGCGGAGTGTGAAAGACCATGCACATAGTCCACAGCCAGTCACCCTCCTTACCTCCCAATCTCGTCGCAGGCTCTATATACACATGGTGTCGTGCCACATGTTTCGTCAAATGGGGATGAGTCTTGGCCAGTTCCAATATAGGACTGTAACTGCTGTCTACCGCCTGATGTGCAAGCTGATCTGCCGGATGATCAGGGAACAAGGGCTTTATACGGTCCAGGCTGACTGGCACGATGCAGTTGATGAGCCACGTGTGGTCGGTGACCTCTGGATGTAAGAATGGAACTGAAAACGCTTCGTATCGAGACCAATCACCAACGGCGCAGAGAACACCTAACATCCAAAAGTCCATTCCACGCGCGATGATGCTGGAGGCTGAACTCATTGGTCCCGGCATCCTGGCATTGACCTCGTGGAGATATACTGGAGTATCCTCCGAAATATTGGGCTTCGCTATAGGCTCAAGGTCTGGAATCGTTGCGCCCTTGGTGAAAGTATATTCCATGGATGAGTTGCAAATTCTCGCCTCGCAGTGAAACACGCCAGTGTCGAAGCCCATTTTACGAACCGCCGAGACCACCTCGTCAGTGATGGCCCGCTGTTCATTCTCAGGGAGCCTCGAGGGCACAGCCGCTTGCGACTCCGTGAAGAGCTTTCCCGTCGGATCCTCCGCAAGGTCTGCGGAGCAAGGAAAGTCGTCTACAATCTCAGTATACAGAGCCTGGCCCCTGAAGAGGACAATGTTGCAATCCACTTCAGGCCCATCGATGTATGGCTCGACCACAACCCTTAGGTCGGGAAGCTCTTGGCTGACGATCAGTGATTTCTGGACGGCATCGCGCAGTTGCGGGGCGTTGTTTGCACGGTAGACTCCCCAGCTGCTGAGTCCAGCGACTGGCTTGCATACAACGGGGAAGTTGACGGATTTGGTAGACTGCAGTCTCGATTCCAACTCTTTGAGGCTCTGCACCGTGAAGAAGTCTTTCTCGTCGGGATCGAGCATCTGGCGCGTGCGATACTTGTTTGTTGAAATCGAGAAAGCCTCTGGTTCTGGTGTATAGACTCCCAGATCTCTCGCTGCCATGGCCGCTGGCACCATGAATGGATCCCACGGTCCCCAGAGGCCGTCTATTGGATCTGGGTATGCCTTGATCGCATCGGCGATTCTTCTCCAGAAGCCATCGTCTGTCGTCATATCCATTTCGATGTAGCCGTCCATCATATATTCATGTGGTGGCTTGTCATCCTCGGACCACGCACCAGAACTCATAACTACCACTTCGATTCCCAGCGCTTTCGCATTGGCCCATGCCGCTCTCTTAGCCGCTATGCGACTCCATGTCAGGAAGCATATGCGCCGCTTGCGGGTGGGCTCTGGCGAGATAAAAGGAAAGGAAAGCCTTCGTGTGAGTTCAAACTCAAGTTTATCGATGGCCCCATTGCATAGTTCCAGAGGGGATATAATAGCACCGATCGATGCATCCAAGGCCTTGAATATGCCTTCAAGGGTGTTGGTAGAGTCAGAAGGAGCCGTTATCTCCTGAAGTGGCGAGAGAAATGTCTTGGTCGAAGAAACAAGGGCACAGTCTGCCACACGAAAGGCCCAAGGGTTGGCATGGCCTGCAAAGCCGCTCACTCTAGGAACCTGGAAGACGCACAGGCCTTCTTGCGCGATGCATTGCTGGATAAGCGCAGCGATAGCTGAATCCTGATCCTTTCTAAGCTGATAAGCCTCCGACTGAGAATCATTACCCGAGATCCATACGCCGGGACCGAGGGGTGTCTCCAGTGGTCCTGAGTTGCGAACTGTTGGCGCAATATACAAATTGTGGAATTGCTGAGCCTCGTTCCCGGTTTGCTGTACATATCGCCACTCACACTCGAGTGAGACTGACAGAAACCAAATCTGTTAGCATGGGTATCTGTGCTCTGATCACATAAACTGACCTTGGTTATCTGGCAAGTTCAGCCAGATGTGGAGTCGTGTTTGTTCGGCCATTGCTAGAATCGTACATAGGTGAGAAATGTGTGTCTGGATATCGAGACTCAGATAGTTGTTCCCGAGGGACCTTATGTTTGTAGACCACCCTGCGCCGTAAGCATGCATCACGTTTCACTGCGCAATGAAACTGCTGGCTAATAGCACCAAAGAGGCTCTATCCATGCAGGGCACTCTGACACTGCATGGTCATGCTGCACACTGGCTTGTGCACAACCAACAGCAGCACTAACAGCACCAGTCAAGAGGGCTTCCGGGGGTAGTCAGCCTCTGACCGACCTGACGTTGCGTTTATGATTGTCCATCTACCAAATACCATTACCTGGGCATTCTGACGACGCAAGCCTGAGTCGTCAGCGTAGGGCACATGTTCTACAGAAATTAACAGTCGTGCTCTTCCCAGTATAGCACGTAGCAGTAGCTTTAATAAACTTGTAGTTATGCCAAATGCGCATGCATACAGCAGGGTGTAATACTCTTAATCAGGGGAGTAAGGCTATTTGACGGCTCTTCTGCGTTAATCCTTCCACAATTGAATTGAATGATTTACATATAACACAAAATGGATCATTTAGGTTCTAAGTGGCACTGCATCAAAGGCTTGCTGGAAATCAGCAATGAGATCGTCCACCTTTTCAATGCCCAGTGACAACCGGAACAGGTCCTCATACACACCCATTGCCTCATTCTGCTCAACAGAACATCCCTTATGCGTTGTCGACCAGTGATGCCCTACAGTAGTCTTTGCATCTCCGACGTTAGGCGTATTCGAAATGATCTCAAACGAATCGACAACATCAAATGCCATGTCCACTGTCCCCTTGAATCCAAAAGTCATAACAGTTCCAAAGCCTTTCAGGTACTTCAAGGCAAGCTGGTGATATGGGTGGTCTTCGAAGCCCAAATATTTGACCCAAGCGATGCGCGGATGATTGCGCAGCCAAGACGACATGAACAGAGCATTGCGGTGCTGGCGCTCACAGCGAAGTGAGAGGGTCTCGACGCCGATGAAGAGCTGCTGGGCAGCCTGCGCACCGAGACAAGCTCCTGTATCGCGCATGAACTCCCATCGCAGGAAGCTCATATATGCTTCGTTGCCAAATTGGTCGTAGAGGCTGGTATCAGTGCCCTCGCGGCCTCTCTTTGCGTGAAGATGAGGATAACAAGCTGCATTGGACTGCCACTCGGAAACGCCTGTCTCTATGACAACTCCCCCCAATGTCGTTCCATGACCACCGATCCATTTGGTAGCTGAGTGGATGATAATGTCGACACCAAATCTAGCTGGCTGACAGAAGAAGCCAGCAGCTGAAAAGGTAGCATCCACGATGAGAGGAATCTTTGCACGTCGGGTGATGGCTGAAAGACCCTCCAAGTCTGCCACTGCGAACTTGGGGTTGCTGATGGTCTCAGTGAAGACAAATTTGGTCCTCTTATCAATCGCGGCTTCGACTTTTTCCAGGTCATTTGTATCCATAATGCGACACTCTAGACCCATGGCTGGGAGAATGACTTCGAATTGATGATACGTTCCACCATGAACAGAACCGCTCACAACAGCGTTATCGCCCACCGTCACCAAGGATTGCGCGACTGTCAAAATTGCTGCTGCACCACTTGCGAAGCTAAGAGCATCTTTCCCGAGCTCCAGAGCCGCCATGCGCTTTTCGAAGCCGACATTACTAGGCTTCACACCCGTCAGTCCCCATTTTGCTGAAGTAGATAATCTGGAAGTACTCACGTTGGAAAGTCGGCTGTACATGTAAAACTGGCTCCTCGGGCCATCTGAAAAACTGTATGCATCCTCGATGCTCTTTGATGACTTGAAGCGGAATGATGCAGAGTTGTAGATTGGCAGGGAGCATTGTCCATGGGCGGTCTCGTTTTCAAGACCAGAATGGACTTGAAGAGTATCGAAATGCCATTTGCGTGTATTTTTGGACACCGCTTTTGACATAGCTACCCCGTTGGAATTGTGTTCACCATTCTTAGTGCTATGGCTGCTTGTGTGCACTCTTGCGGTTTCGTCTAAGGTGCTGGAGGGGCTCATGTTGATGGTTTTACCGATACTAACTTGGCCGGAATACGCAGTTACCCA